CTTACAGTCAGTCATATAATATTTACGCCACTGTTCTAAGTGTTCTTTGTGTGTAGATAATTGCTCTCACTGCGGTTTTTCTGAAGTCTGAAACATATAAAAAATGTCTCTGTAACAATCTGAAGCATGACAGATGCCACGGGCTGATGATGCGTTGATGTTAGAGGCCTTTTAGCCTACCTCATGTTGTGAAACAGGTTCTAAACTCTTTGAGTATGACAGTAAACAGCTGGGTGCTGCTGATGAAACTGAAACCAGCTTTTCAAAACACGTTTAATCACAGCTAATTTATGATTTAATGCAGTGTTTGCTTGTGTGTGGTTGGTGTTTCATCAGGAAAGTGTCCATCTGAAACATTGAAGTAACACCGTCATATTTATTGAAGCATTTATGTATTTATAGTATAATAGTTCCAATAAGAAAGCTGATATTTCTGGATTTATGTTTATTTATTGATCTGATGAAATATGATTTTAAGTTTTGTGTTTTAATTTACTCTAAGCAAAACAATTCTCCTAAAAACGACCTTTAAGCAGTTTGAAATTTGATGATTTATAATTTTTCTACTGATTTGATATAAATGTATGATCTTAAAAGTTGTGTTTTTATGTGCCGTTAGTAGAAAATTGTCATAACGAATAGAAATAAAAGCTTGATGATTATTGTGATTATTATTATATATGATTTGTTTCATTCAGTTATGAATTAAATGAACAATAATAATCTATTTGACTGCCCTTTTCACTGTAGTTTAAATGGGAGTCACTTTGCTTATGATTTACTTAAAAAGAGCAGCCATGAAACTTGTGATGCTGATGCAGCTGCACTCGGATGAGTTATATTAAGGTTCTCGGGCCGGCGCTGCCTGGAGCTGCTGCAGCCTTTAGGCATTTTAGAAAAAAATTCATAGCAAAGGAAATGTTATGCTACAGAGGCAGGTGGCCATCAGCGGTGGTGGGAGGGATGTGACAAGCAGACAGAAAAAGAAAAGTGCGTGCCGGTAATCAGCTCAGGCCAGAGCCATTTACTGAACCGGCGGAGCAGCGTATCCATGACAACATGTCGGCAATATAATTACGCTTTTTTCCTGTGAGAGCAATGAAACACATTCACATCAAGTGCCCTGAATGCCCCGTCTGAGGCTGTTTGGTTGTCTGAATGCGCCAACGCCACTGTGTTTGTGTCTCAGAGTGGAGGAGGCGTGGAGCAGAGTGGGGCGGGGACGCCCTTGTTGATCTCTTGCATGTCCAGACATGTCGATACTCGCGGGTTTTTAAAAGTTTCAGTGATGCTCCTCTTATCTCACACAAACACACGTGTAAAGGATGACAGCAGAGCGTGTTGCTCTGACACTACACGCACTGAGTCACACTTTACACACACAGAGCTGCAGATTTGGGTGGTTGCCAGAGCAACTCATTTATAAAAGCTGTTGATATTCACACCTGAGTGAGAAAAAAAAACTTATCCTATGAGATAAAACGAAAGATATTATTTCAACTTACAGACTTAAACTATATATGTAAAAAAAATAATAAAATAAGGCTAAAAAATCCAGGTGATATGATCTAACTTCACATATCTATAAACTTTGAAACCACAGTCTTATCACTGCAATCTGCACCAGCCAAAATAAATAAAATAAAATAAGAGCCCGGGAGATTTCCAACACGTTGACTGGTCCGATTTTTGATCACCACTGACAGCTCAAAACACTGACTGACAGAGTAAACCACGTTACACTTCCACAGCTTGCAAACGCTGTCATTTCCCAAAGTTGGCATGGAAACAAGAACAGAGAACACGATGAACCCAAGCACCTGTACTCCTTGTAGCACATTTTCTTCCACGAAGCCGTCTGAGTGATCGCACACATACAGTACAATTATAACCAGCTCCTGGGGTAAAGGAAACTACAGCCAAGTGTCTGCAAACATGAAGGCACACACGCCGAACGAAGAAAGGAGCTACACCCTTAGATGCACTGTTATTTATTGAGGCAGTCGCACAATAAAATGTCTCAGTATGTCTTTTTTTAAGATGTTTAACACAATTGAGGCTTATTAATAATAACTAATGACATTTCTTTTCAAAACTAGCCGTGAAATAACATTTTCTAAACCATTTTGGTAAAGCTGACATTCTTAAAGTCGTAGGGAAGTCATATTTAAATGTCAAATCATTCTTGCTTAAACATGTATATAAATGTACTCTTTATCAGGCGATATTGTCCCAAAAGTTAGAACATTTCTATAAAATATGTGTTTTTTTTCATAATCTTATGCAGGCCAGTTAGTTATACGTCAGCTTGAACGCCTAAATTCGGCCAATCACATATCAACAGTCATCTGTCAATCACATTTTTTATCATAGCATCTTGATTGATATGTCGCAGCTAATATACGCAACAGTTGAAATAAGAAACCAGAATAATTTCCTTTCCCATTGAGTTGCGTCCCAGTGTTCACGGGGATGGACGTCTGTGTCTTCGGCAGGCCAGAGATGGCAAAAGTACTCACTTTCCGTACTTGAGTAAAAGTACAGATACTTGTGTTAAAAAATACTCTGGTAAAAGTGGAAGTA